ACTGTTGCAATGTGATTATGTTTGTTGTTCACATGTAAAAATCTTGCTGTTTTTCGTTCTGAACAGAAAAAGCTGAGGCCACAGCAACTGATTCAGAGCCCAAACCAGAGGAGGCACCAGGTGAGAGACGCTGCAAAGCAAACACATAATTCATTTAAAAAATGCCCACGCCAACCCTAACATGCTTCCCCTCTTTTTCTTTCTCAGCCCCCAGCGAGTGAAGTGCAACGTGAATCAGTGCACGGATGAGTTTGTTGGAAGTGTTTTATCTTATTTGTTTATGCATGAGTGAAAGTATGTGTAGGTGTGTGTGTGAAAGACATTGCCTTGTTGCCAAGATGCAGACCCTGTGATAAACCACTTTCAGTCAGGGTTCCTCAGTCATCACTCTGCCTTCTTTCCCTAATGATGGTGTATGGCTGCAATTTCTGCTTGCAAACTGTATATAGACAGAGTTCTACAGCACTTAGTGGGTGTGTTTATTTTCAGAGGAATAACTTGAAATTTCTATTTATTATCTGTATAGAAATTTATAATAGCAGAAACATCATATAACTACTGTATATCTTTAACTTGAACCTAAGAGTCCATTCTGTACTTTTCTACAAAATTATAATCTTAATCCTAAAACCAAAGCCAAAATAGATTTGATTTATGAAATTATTTTCTGGGTGTCAGGCTTTGATTTTATGTTTGTAATGAATATGAAGAGCTGACAACGACGACAGATTTTAAACTGATTTTAAACAAATGAAATACGTGCAACCTTTTTTTCTGGTATGTCATTATTTTTCTCTGGGAAGACATCTGTAATAAGCTATGAACTGTCAAAAAATTAAAAAGACCACCTTAAAAATGACATCTAATACATCTTTTTTTGGTATCTTAAAGCAGAATGAACACAAACAGAGAAACACGGGAGGTTTTTATGACATTCTTTTATTAGTGAGAGCTGCACTTTTTAAATGTGTTATAATATTTACTTGGAACAAAACAGAAGATGAGAGATCAACCAGAAACAGCACCAATAGGAAGTTGATTTGAACCGGAATCTGGCCACTGTGACCAGGGAATGTTAGACTGATTGTACAGATACTCACTCACTTTATCATTTTGTTTTACCTACGGTGTGTCAGGTGTGAAATTTCCATTAGCCAGAAACCAAATGCTGGTCAATTAAGTGCTGCTCTGTTCTTAAGGGTTTAAGTGGTATTATACTGAAAATAGTTCAGTGCCATCAACCAGCTACAGTGGCTAGAGGAGAAACTAATTCAAGCTAAAATCTGACTATATGGAAAAAGAAAGCTAACAAGATCCTAGTTTGGTCTGTCATGTTTCATCTGAAAAAAAACAAACAAGGCTTCCACTGTACAATTAGAGGGTCACTTGATGGTTAGACTACAACTTGTTTGGGATGTGGCCGGCTAGTCAGGAGTCTGAGAGAGGACCGGTAACAGCAACTGCCTCGATTTCCACCAGTCCACCCTGAAGGGAAAAAGAAGGAGACAGAGATTGAGGAGATTGTGGAAAATGAAGCAATGTGGGTAACAAAAATACAACAATGCAATATGGTCCAACAAGACTGAGAGTCTATACAGCCATGCTACTATGAGAGGTTGTTCTGGATTATCTATTCAGTGCTCCGTTGGGCACTGATAACAAAATTGTAAAAATAATAAATGCTACGAGCAGCACAAATACAATTCTTTACATCTACAAAACTAGGGGGACATTATCTGGATACCACTGGAGGCTGTTGATAAAATAGTAGTTTTAGTAGTACAGTAATTTGGACGAACAGACCCTTTAAATAGTTGAGAGAGTATTTGATGGGGAAAAGGTTCATCTCTGACCCACAACACAAATTATTAATATACATTTTTCTAATCACTAACACAACAAAAAATGTCATGATGATCCATCCAACAGATATATGTAGATATATTTCAGTCTGAACGTAGTGGATCGACCACCAGATCGTCCTAAAAATGACCCACACCATCCAGGTATTAACTAGACAGCACTGCCAGTCTGTTTCCTTTCAGCACAACAACATTCACTAGTACCATTTTTCACTCAATGCACATGGATGATGGAAAATGCATTGCATAGATGTAGCAAGCACCTAGCTACCATACATCACTACCACCCGTGTGTATTGATGTCTATGAGCTGTATGCTCCACTGGGTAAAGGTTTTCTTTATACTTACTCTTGGGAGAGCAGCCACTTGATAGGCAGCTCTGGCAGGAAAGTTGCTGCTGAAAACTGGAGGGAAAGCATTTACATTATGTTTGCATCATCACAAAAACATACTGGAAAGTGACCTGGTTCATCTACGATTCTTATTATAAATGGATCATTTGATTCCTGGGAACCACCATATAGTTGGTGACAGTGGCAAGAAAAAACTTTCATCTGCCTCAACCAGTTGGGTCGGTTATAAACATGCATACTTTTTATAATGTGTAACTACAGAATTCATTGACGGTTAATAAATAATTTATTAAGGCCTATATGCTGTGAAGCAGAGGTTTTAAAAAAATGTATTTGGCTGGTGCATAACAGGTTTGTTTTTTTATTTTAAAAAGGGTAATTTTCTATTAAATGGTCAAATCTGCTGTTATGAATGTGAAGTAGTTAATAAATGGATTTTAGCCTGGATTATTACAGCTCTTTTACAGATGTGAAATGGTCAAATTATTCCCTGGAGGGTTCTCCTTGATGAATTAAAGTTATGCTGGAGGAGGATATACACACGTTTTTACAACCTGGTAACCCAAAAGTTGTTCTTAATAATAGCTTATTACTCCGCAAAGCACAAATAACCGATTTAGTAACATGACTAAAGCCAACATAATATTAGACCTTATTAGAGAGGCTAACACTTTACTTTACCCTCCATATTTAATAAATGGTTTATTACATGCTATAATGTAGTACCTATAAGGGTATTTTGTGTTCATTAATGTACAGTATTTGTTAAATAAATGTATTTATTCTAACTTCTATAAAGCTGTATATATATACACACCAGCCTCCAGTCATAGTTAGTTTGACAAATTAATCAGCTGTTTACAACTACACTGCAGTATATTATAAGCCATTTATTTAATGTTTATACACTGCTTATGAATGCTAAATGGACAATGAGGGGGTCAGTTAAAATAAAGTATTAGTGAAAGGAGTAACCAACTTAACACACAGAGTTTTGAGGTTTTAAGGGTAATGTGTAAAGCATCTAGTAGGGCACTGGGAAACATAAAAACAGTGTGTATTTTAAATAAAGCCAAAACACTGTTTTATCACATAAACAAAGTCTACAAATGCAAACGAGTTATCATATTTTATAAGACATGGTTAAAAAAAGAGTGTAACCAGCAGCCGGGGAAGTCAAAATTCACATGACTTTGGATCAGAGTGGACACATGTCCTCTCCTTCCTCTTATCAGGGTCAGGGAAAGTTCCCTGCCTGTGGTTTAGGGTTGAGTAGAGTCAGGAGGGGAGGTAGGCCTATACCTGAGTCAATGGCCTGCGCAGCAAGGCTTGCTGGGAGGGTTGGGTTACATCTGTGTGCTTGCATGGCGGTGTCCATTTACAACTCACTGGGCACTGCAGCTTCCATTACACCTGTCTGTTGTGATCCAGGAGGAAATGCCCAGACTGAGCGGCCCGTTAGAGAAGGCTGCATTCATACGGCAGAGTGAAGGGCTGAGTGAGCCTGTCTGTCAGGTGACTGTTACACCTGTCAGCAGTCATTTTCTGAGAGATGTCCGTGAAATACGAGGCACCGCATCTCCTCTTTAGAACACAAGAGGAGATGTGGTGCCACTGGAATAATTATAGACTTTCACTGTGCTCAGTTATGATCTATTAGTAAATTGTGTGCTGGATTTCATTTAATTTTTAGGTGAAACGCTACTTACATGTCACAATCATGACATGGAAACTGTAAATTTTAAAACAGGAATCAATTGTATTGTGATGTGGAATATGATACGCATACACAAACAATTATTTTGCAATTCAATTTTTAAACTATAATATATATTAATTTAGAGACAGATTAAGTAAATAGTTAATCAATAACTGACAAAGATTTTTGTAATATTTCTTTGCTTGGAGTTATAATATATTTTATAAATGCATTAATGTATGATTTTTTAATTATAATTAAACACAGTGAAAGTCTTCTTTAATTTTTCTTGTGGCACACTTCATCCTCTGTATACTCTGAAAGTCTAGCGAGGCCCTGAAAGATAAAATTGTGTTTTGGCTTTCCCTCTTCCTACAAAACACATCGTCTGCACTCATTCAGTGCCTTGATCAAGGTCACTTGAGCAGACTAAATACTTGAATCCACTCCTTCCAGCTGCAGGAGGTAACCTTTCATCATATTTGCTAAACATTTCACTGTATCCTGGCAGTAGTAAATGAGACAGATAATATGTGAAAAAATCA